ATTTCTAATCTAAATTAGTCACAAAAAAAAAAATAAAAATTAAAACAGTAAAACCAAACAAAAGTACCATGCAGATTAAGAGTAAAGAGAAGCAGATTTAAAAAAAGTTTAAAGATCAAGTATTCAAAAGAAATGTACTATAGGTATTATAGTATTTATAGGAAGGCCAAGCATATCTAAAAATTTTACACATATTTTAGTAATTTCTACATATGTATCCTAAAAATCTGAGTGAAATGTCTTGAGGAAATCGATCATTCAAAAACCTTCTCAAAAGAGTAGAAAACTTTAATCCACTCAAAAGAACTTACATTTAGATTTTAGATCACTATCAAACTTGGTCGTGTAATAACTGTTTATAGTTTATAAAATCGAAGGGCAATGAAACGTTTCGATAAAAAAACAAATAAAGTTTTAAAACCAGCACTTGAATTAGAATTAACGATAAAAACCAAGTAAACAACAAAACAAATAAAAAGAAACGTTAAAATTTTTCGACGGTAAGAAATAACCATGGCTGAAGAAAAGCTTCAGGGTCGTATCATGCTAAAAAGAAGGAAAGTCCTCGGTTGCATGAAAAACAGACATAAAACTATCGTGAAGCGCGTGCTGCCTTTAAAAAAACTGAAGCAAGATCCTGGCTTTTTTAATTACTCTTATTATGACAGTGTACCTTTGTATCGAAGAGGCCGATGTAGATCGAGACCAAGAAACAAGAAATTCCTCACCTCTTCGTAGCTCTCGTGCATACTGTAACACCTCTCTCGTTACATCATCAGGGAAGAGGGTATTTCTCACTGCTTTCAAAAATAATCTACGCAGAAACAGGAAAAAAAAATTGTACAAACACACAGAGTGAATCAAACTTAAAAATGCATAAAACAGTGACGGCTCGCGGATTGGCACACCACAATTAATAATCCTTAAAGTTAATATAAACGACCACCCCCCGACCAGCTCATGAAAAAGATACAAAAATATTACCATGAACTGTGAACTTCACAGCTCCATTAGCATGCCATTTGAGTATTGTGTATCTGCACACATAAGAAAGTGCACAGTACCGTAGACAAAAATTTCCAGTATCTCTCCAGTCTCTCAGAGTCTTTCAGCGCCTATGACAGCGTCTCTCACAGTCTTTCACAGTCTCTCAATTATTGCCTAGGTGTTTCTATGGATCTCTCACAGTCTCTGTATGAGAGACTCGAACGATAAAATTGTTAATTCAGAGATTCGAGTCTCTCACAGAGAGACTGAATGAATAAAACTGANATTGGTAAATGCACATTATTATAGAATAGTAAAATAATATCTTTTATTTCTCTCTATTTAACGACCACACTTTATAACGCCGAAAAATGTTCAGTCCCTTAAGTGTTGTTATATAGAGTTTACACTGTAATTAAAAATGAATACATAATCGCAGCTAAGTCATTTGTCGAAAAGTAGTGCAACGTACGTCCCTGTTTGCGACCAGCTATCTAATATAGATCTACCTCTGTTAACTCCTGTTTCTGCTTCTAATGTCTCTCTAACAAGCCCTTCATATCTGAGGTGTCCTACAAGCCTAAAAGTAATCATCCGAAACGTTTAACAAACAACTCGCGATAAATGGAAATCTAAAATCTAATGAAAGCTTTTCATGTTATCAAGCCATTAAACATCTATATTGTAAAGCAACTTTTACCTAAATATATTATTTTTTATGTTCCATTTCTATAATTTTTCCTTTCGAAAAGACAAAAAGCTGTCATTAAAAAATTAAAGAAATTTGTAAAATGAAACATATAAAAACCAAAAACGAATTTTAGTTGAACCCTATAAAAATTTCAACTATAACTTAACTTTACAAAAGCCTAAAAATTTCCGCACCCCAAAACAAAGTTTTAAGATCAGCCCATGCCAACACGCATACCTTCAGAAATGCGTATATCCATGCAGAAAAAAGTTTTCGGATATGCTTCCAAATTACTTTTTAGCGCGTTCTCAAGACTGAACTTCAGCTTTTCCCCGTTTCGCCGGCACGACTAACTCTCGTTCTTTTTCTCTGTCTGTCTCCCTTCCGCCCTTATATGTGATCGATTCGAACTGTAAACACTTCACAACTTGCACGATCAACTTCGACTTCAATTTTATTTAGGTAACTCCGAGAAAATCAACTTTAGTAGCTACTGGAAAACACGCTTTCCGCCAACTTTTCTAAACAAACTGCATCAAAGCAACGCGGACAAGATGATACACCGCGGCAGCCCTGGCTACAGCTAATATGTAAATCCGAGAAACAGAATAATAATTAACTAAACCTTTTCAGTAAAAATTCTAAAAGTTTGATTACTACACGAAACATTTACAATGTATAAGCCAAAAGATTAAAGTTAATTAAAATAGCCCTATTTCTAAATGTTTTTCCCTAATCCTTCCAAAAATGTTACATGCAAAATTTTCTAACTATATATTTTTTACGTTATTAACAAAAAATTGTTTTCACAGAAGTCTTAATTTCTCGCTTTTGATCATAATTATCTCACAACTATCAGAAGCAACACTACTCTACTCTAAAACAGTAAAAACTGTATTAAAGTCCAATCATCCTCACTCTCAGTTTCACTATTGCGATTTTATATGTTACTACATTTTATTAGTTATAATTGTTGAATTTTATCGCCTGATGAAGCTACCATCTAGCCAAACAATTGCGATATTTTACTAATTAAATTCTTACTTAATAATCCATTTCAGTACCAATGTATAAACTTTCCTCAACTAAAAAAGCACTTTATTAAACAAACACCAACATTTTACCCTTTGGTAGAGAGCTTTATACAGGAAATTGTCGAGTCAAAAGACAGCGAGCAATGTCAACATCTTTCTAATGCAGGAATACCTACATTCTTTTACATTTTTTTTAAATTAATCAGGCATAAGAAGAAGCATTCCAAAAACAGTTACCCTGTACAACATACAGATTATGTAGTAACGTTATGATCTGACTGTTGAAGATTTTCTTGATAAATCACTTCATCAAAGGGAGTCTGTCTAATGAAGCGTTTTTCCACCTTGCTACTGCAAAGTTGAATTAGTAAAATAATCGAACTTAGTATTTACTTCATTTCATGACATTATACCTCTGCAAATGCAGCTACAGTAATTTCTCTTTATGTCTAAATCCTTTTATAGTCTAGATATTGTACATCAGGTTTTATGGATAGATAAAGTAAATTGCGTTTAGACGTATTCGTACACGCGATATAAACGTATTCAGCCATAGAATTCAATAATAATATTTCCCCGTACTCAGGGTGTGAGTCAAAGTACAATCAAATAGGCCGCGCATATTGGAATTACCTACGTATGTTTAGAAAATAAGCGGAACAGAAAGCGAGGCTCGCACAGAGAGAGATTGGTAGGTAGTAGGTACATTTCTCCGAGAAATTAGATCAAATTCGGAAGCGAAGCTTTCGTTTGAAAATCGCATTGTATCGACGATGACGTACTATGACTACACACTGAATCGCATCGGATCCTGTTTTAGAAGCAACCCGCTCCTGTCTTCCCTATTAAATGAACGAAATGTAATTTGTTTCCTTTCACATTCCATAAATCGAATCATTAGGTACGTAGATATATTATTCTATAAGCAACGGAAGAAATGTAAGTATTCTACCCTCGATTTTCGAAACGAATAAGGGTAGGTACTTACGTGCGCGCCTTACAAGTTATACATAGGCACTTGCATTTTCATTTAACCGGTGCATAATAACGTAATGTATTTATTTAAACAATTTTTTCGGTTTTTAACAGTTGACAGTCGAGCCAAAGAATATTACTTTCTTCCAATGCAAAAATTTTACTCTCGACGCCTTAAAAGAACTGTAACTTCAAAAACTCAACTTTTCTTTCATGGAAATGGCTTAAAATAATCCAATTTAAACATTTCTTTTTGAAACGAAATACTTTACAGGCACGTAATCTCTTTATTTTAACAGCAACTGATGAAATAACTATCACAAAAAATACTGTATTTGTGGAGCCTCACTCTTAGGAAGTGATAGGAATATCCTCTCAGGAAAAGGATAAGGAACATTTACACATCATAATCTCTATCCTATTCTAGATTAGATATGCTAGGCTAGGTTTAGGTGGCTAAATTTGCCCCCTTCCTCTGAAACGTTTTCCCATCACATCTTATAAAAAAGTATAAACAATTGATGTATTTCAATATTATCATTAATTTTTATTATCTGTCTGATCAGCTTTTTATTATCTATATGTGAATTCTTTCAGATGCAAAAACTCCAACATTTCACCCTTTAATTATGAGATTTTTCAAGGAAGTAGAGTACAAAATTATCTTATCGCTAAAGCACTAATAATTTAATTTTAAAATGTAATCTTAAAAACGCATTCTTTAAAACATTATTCCATTAATTTTTACTATTTAAAATACCATAAGCCAGTTAACTTTTTGATTCGACAATTTCCTTGAAAAGGTCTTCAATCGAAGGGTGAAACGAAGGTTTGTCTAGTAAAGTAGTTTTTTCACTTGAAAAAGTTCATATAAGGGATATTACAAAGTTGATCAGGGATATAATGGAAGTTAATGTTCACAGCTTACTAATTGAACAATTTCAATTTTTTTCTATCAATTTAACTGGTCTATATAAAAGTTCCTTTCAACTGAACTTAATTTTAAATGATTTTTTACTGGTTTATCACATTTTACTGAAACTTTCAAAAAAATAAGAGCACCACGTTAAATTTAATATAAAATCGGTCGTAGGTGTAATATGTATTTAAGGCAACATACTTATTCGAATTTCCACTTGAATAATGGCTGCATGCGCCACCTATAGTGAAAAAGGCAAAACTATCTGCTACAAATCTACTAGAAAAAGCAATCCTGCCTGTCGAACTTCAAAACTTAGTTTTGATGGTATCGTATCACAACAATACAATCGTAAATATTAAATTCATCAATTAAACTACACATAAATTCCTACCTTCTGTCCAGAAGCAGCTGCAGGATATCTTGCTCGTTGCCGAATGTTCTTGCACTGTCCCACACACAATACTTATCGTTAAATGTTTGTCTTAAGTTGAAATTTACAGCGAAATTGTCTTACATCAATTAACTCGCGACATAAATCGTTATTCGACACCGAAACTACGGGAAATGACAGCTCTTTTTACCATTTCCATCCAAAGTACAATGACGTCAGTCAACAAGATGTAACAAGATCACTATGATCCTGCGGTTCGCATAATAATTTTATTTAATTGTATACACAAAATAAAATAAGTTTCTAGCAAACATATTTAGCATTAGATATTAATTACCAATCATGAGAATATTTATAATTAACATTAAAAGCATTAAAAGTAATTAAATATNACCAAGTAAACAACAAAACAAATAAAAAGAAACGTTAAAATTTTTCGACGGTAAGAAATAACCATGGCTGAAGAAAAGCTTCAGGGTCGTATCATGCTAAAAAGAAGGAAAGTCCTCGGTTGCATGAAAAACAGACATAAAACTATCGTGAAGCGCGTGCTGCCTTTAAAAAAACTGAAGCAAGATCCTGGCTTTTTTAATTACTCTTATTATGACAGTGTACCTTTGTATCGAAGAGGCCGATGTAGATCGAGACCAAGAAACAAGAAATTCCTCACCTCTTCGTAGCTCTCGTGCATACTGTAACACCTCTCTCGTTACATCATCAGGGAAGAGGGTATTTCTCACTGCTTTCAAAAATAATCTACGCAGAAACAGGAAAAAAAAATTGTACAAACACACAGAGTGAATCAAACTTAAAAATGCATAAAACAGTGACGGCTCGCGGATTGGCACACCACAATTAATAATCCTTAAAGTTAATATAAACGACCACCCCCCGACCAGCTCATGAAAAAGATACAAAAATATTACCATGAACTGTGAACTTCACAGCTCCATTAGCATGCCATTTGAGTATTGTGTATCTGCACACATAAGAAAGTGCACAGTACCGTAGACAAAAATTTCCAGTATCTCTCCAGTCTCTCAGAGTCTTTCAGCGCCTATGACAGCGTCTCTCACAGTCTTTCACAGTCTCTCAATTATTGCCTAGGTGTTTCTATGGATCTCTCACAGTCTCTGTATGAGAGACTCGAACGATAAAATTGTTAATTCAGAGATTCGAGTCTCTCACAGAGAGACTGAATAAATAAAACTGAAAAATTGAGACTCCATGTCTATCGAGACAACACTTATTGAGAGATTCGAGTCTCTCGTTCAGAAACTGGATACGAAATGGGGATCTCTCTATGAGCGACTCGAGTCTCTCGTTCAGAGACGCTAAACAGTTTTTTTGACAGTCTCTCTCAACGACACCAGAAAAGCTCGATGAGAGACGGAGACTCAAACTTCGCTTTCAGAGACTGTGAGAGGCTGAACATTTTTATCTCGGGTAGGCTCAGAGGCTATGAAGGAGAGTGTTACCAGACCTACGAAAATTTTGCTATACCTAGTGAATTAAAAGCTAGCTGATGGGAAAGGGGATTTTTATTTAATTTTATATAAAATCTAGGGAATGTTTACGTGTAAGACAATTTTGTGAGACCTTTTTGTGCCAGCCGCCACTGGTATGCATTATAATAGGTGTAAGATTCTTTTAATTGTATTTAATTAATTTTTTCAATGTGTGATTTTAAAATAAATATCTTTTACATAGATTGTCTGGTTAAAGTACAGACCAATCCACAAACAGAATTAAATTTTTGAAAAGGTATATTGTAAAATAAGCCAAAAGGATCAGCATTTCTGCAAACAAAAACAAGGATATTTTTATAGTTAGATATCGTGTACATGCTTACCATTTAATTAAAAATGATAATTAATTAATTTTTTAATTACCTTGGGATGAGAGCAACAACCACCGATAAAATGATGCAATGCCAATACGTAGAACTATTTACGGAATGGTGTATTACCCAGTACGAGCTCGGTAGTCCAAAGCAATCGACGCAAAATGTGTTGTACAAAAACGCAAAAGTATAAAATATAAGAATTGACGCCATTATCGCAAGTGCATGTATTACCGTCTGAAAGAAAAGATTAAGAAATTGCAAAAAGAAACACTTTTCTTTACTCTAATATATACAATACATGATTAAATGATATGCCGCGAACAAGATTTAAAGTTACGGACCAAAAAATAGAGACAACATTTAGAAGATTAAACTAATGTGTTTAGCATATTAATCAATTATTCTTAATAACTGTAGTAATTATCACCCAATTAGCTATGTTTGCAATTACCATTTCCTTAGCTGCACTTTTGCATGAAAATCCTGTGAAAGTGATTCAATTTTTTTTTATAACGATTTTTTTTGTGAAAATATCAAGGCTACCACAACAGTGGAATTATGCCGAAATGAATCACTTCATTTACTGTACAATGCTTATCAAAAACGCCTTTCCAATAAAATTAATTATCCAACGAGGTAATTAACGCCGCAACATGAACATGAAAGTGGCCCGTTTTTCCGGGCTTCGATTCGCTAAAAAACTTTCTTTTATTTTTAATACACCTTTCTGAAGAATTTCCCAAATTACAAACATTTTGACTACAATTATTTTAAAATTTACTGCAAAATTTAATAACATTTAAATATTAGTACAACGTATGATTTTTTAGCGATTTTCATCGTACAAAGTATTAAAATAGCATTTTTTCTATACCATAACTTACTGATTACTTACCCAAGACTTGGTCTCTATGATAACTAAAAATAGCATCGTGAACAAAAGGGCCGAAGCTGACGTAGTCCCAAACACCCAAATGTCCACAGTAGAATCATAATATGCTAAAATACAAATAAAAAATATCGCCATACTTTGGTACAAACTGTCTGCCACAGTCAGCCAAAACGAATACGAATGATAACTTTCTCCGGTACGGCCCTGTTCGTACAGGTATGGCTTTTGTAGTAGTAGTTGCTCAGGGGCATCTATATCGTAGACACCTATCAGACAGAAGAAATAGATATTCCTCTCCTTACTTTAATTTTTGTTTAAAGAAATTATTTTTTCTGACCACGTACCTATTGCTATTGGAGGTAGAGATGTGAAAAATAAATTGTACAACATCAAAAACATCTGATCCACTTGTACTTGACCAGAAAAACCACAGTATATTTGGTACCAGAACACAAGAAACACGCACGTCTAAAACATAACATCCATGTTACGAAAACCAGTATGGTACAAACACATCTTTAAATAGATACCGGGAAACCCAAAAAAGTGTTCATTCCAAATGATAGATTACAATACCAAAAATTTAGCTAATAATTTTTAGAATAGAGTTAGTTTTTCAACAGGTGTTTGAAGAGAAGGTAGCAAGCAATACGTTAAGAAAAATATTTTGTCTCAATTAGTTGAGGAAAAATTACAAGCTGCCAATTTCCTTTATCTAGAAAGTCAGACGACTCAGGATGGAAGGAGCAGTTGAGATATAGAGAATCGAGTCAACTTCAGCAAACAATGCTCGCAGACGGTTAATTTAAAAAATTCGAAAGATTGTTAAGGTATATATATATATACACAGCGCTGTATGGGTGCGAAACATGGACGGTGAGCGAGGCAGAAAAGAAATGATTAGAAGCGTTCGAAATGTGGTGTTACAGGCTAATGATATCATCATGAGGATATCATGGATAGAGAAGGTTAGAAATGAAGAGGAATTAGAAAGGAGAACAGACGACTCTATGGAAGTCAATAAGAAATAGACCAGAGGTTGGTATGATACCTTCTGAGACATTGAAGAGCTAGTTAGAACCATATTAGATGCAGAAACAGGAGCTAATAGAAGGAGAGGTAAACCTGGATTAGATTACTGTTCACAAATAGTCAAGGATGTGGGATGTTTTAATTTTAGGGAAATGCGGAAATTAGCTCAAGATAGGAAAGAGTGAACGTGTATGTTCAACCATTTTTAAGACTGACGACCTCATGATGATGATGCAGTTAATTAGTACGTACCATTTAAATAATTACTTACAGCATTTTTACAAAAGAAGAACAAAACCATTCTCGCCAACCTATCATAACTCCAATGGCCATGGACTAGAAGAAACCTCTTTAAGTACTTGAATTTAGAAAGGGCAAAATCCGCTGCCATTACAGCCTGCATTCCTTCCTGTCCGCAAATTCCAATACCGACATCCGCAGTCTGAATCATGGACACGTCGTTGGCTCCATCTCCAATGGCCAGTGTACGCATTTTCAGTTCTTCTTTCACCACCCGAACAATGTAAGCCTTTTGAAGAGGCGTCGCACGACAACATAAAACCGAATTGCAATAAGTCGTGAGTCTTAGGAACGGTTTAGCAAGATTCGACCGGCGATCTAAAATGTACGTCAACGTTTTGCCATCTACCACGAGTGCCCGGCCTTTGGGATTCGCAGAAACGGAACTAGGAACTACCGAAGCACCGGATATGCCACTAAACCGTGGTGGTTCGCAAATGCCACTGTCATCCGCTGTACCTTCGATTTCTGCCAGATAAAAGAGTATCGTTCTTTCAGCAGCATCTTTGGATCGTACCATCAGTTTCAAGAGTTCCATCTCCGGAGCGAATAGTTTTGCAGAATAAGCAATGTTGATTGCCGTTTCCGGTTTATCTCCAGTTAGCACCCATATCACAATCCCGGCGGCCATTAGAGAACTGAGAGTTTCTGGCACTCCTTCTTGCAATCTATCTTCGATACCAGTAGCACCAAGAAGGGTAAGATTGGTCTCCAACATGGAATAACAGTCTCTCAATTTTCTGTCTCTCCCGTCGCGTGCCATTTCGCAATCTTTCAACACTTTCGTCCAATTTTTGTACTCCTCCTCACTAATTATCCTTTTGGCCATGACCAGAACTCGGAGACCTTCCTTACCATATTCATTTATTTGTTGCTGGGTGCGATTAATAATTTGTTTCTCTTCCGAATCGTCCTCCACGGGAGAAAGATTGCTTAAAACAGTGCTATCGGCACCTTTACTATATAAAACTATTTCTTTGGTAACTGGATGCCTAAAAACTACTGACATGCATTTCCTAAAGGAATCAAAGGGCAAGACGTTCAAAATTTCCATTTCCATAGATCCTTCTCTAGGGAGGCTGACTTTTGCGAGGTGTGGAGTTCTCTCAAGCAGTCGACAATTATAGGAATAGGCGGCATCAACGAGAGCTAGCTCGTCTGGGCTTTCGGCCTCGTAAATGGGTTTCTTGGGCACGCCGTGGCAAATGCTAGCACTCAATTTCGCCTTCTGTTCGTCGGTGAGGTTGCTATTGCTATCGCTACGTTTGCCCAGAAAGTTAATGGAAGGAATTGTGAGCAATTTCGATTTGCTCTTGGACGGATTGGATTGATTGAAAAACGAATCAGTCTCGGGGAATGTCGGAATTGTTGGTGACACGCTGTTCCTGTTGTTATTCGATAAATTCAACGGGGGCGACGGAGTTATCGATCGCGATTCGTCTAGTCGAGTGTAATCAATGGGGGCAATCGTTTGACCGTTCAATGATGTGTCGACGCTAACGGTATCGTCCACATTATCAACTCCTCCATCGACGTAACCGCTAGCATCCATACGATCACAATGGGGAAATTTAGAGCACACCACCGTGTTGCAAATGGATAAATGAAATAAAAATTCTTGCAGCCTTTCTGAATGTAACTGTCTAATGGGATCCTCGAAAACTTCGTTGAGGTCCCTTTGAAGGTTTGGATTTATTATGACGATAAGTGAGGTGCCCGGTTTGTATTTTTTACCACCTCTCTCGACCTCCGGATGATTATAATCAACCCCCGCTACAGTACAACGCCGAAAAATCATTCGGTTTTCAGTGAGCGTCCCTGTTTTATCCGAGAATATGTACTGAATTTGACCCAAATCCTCAGTAATATTTAAAGCTCTGCACTCAACGCGCTTATCAGTTTCGGCATCGTACATTTTTACGTTATTATGGATATGATACACCTGCAGTATCTTGCACATTTCTATGGTGACGTAGAGCGAAAGCGGTATCATGACCTAATAATAATTTTACGTTTTAGTAGTTCGTATAAGGACGGCCGGTGTACAACAACTTACTTGGAAAATAATAACGAACGTCCAAAATGTTAACACGGCGTCCATGGTGACGCTGTAATTATTAGAAATGAAAGGTTCGCCAAGGTTTTCAAATGTAGAATGCCAAATCCTGCAACCCACGGCTCCAATTACGCATATTATTACCAAAATTAAAACACACCATATCACATCAACGTTCATTTTTCTTTCTAAATTCGATCTTTTATATCTTGGACCGCCATTATTTAACATTGCCTTTGTTTCGTGACCTAAAATTATTTCTCGACATAAAATCCAACCCCTTTCACAGTGTTTAGCCTCAACAAAATTAATTTTTTGTTTCTTAAGCGTAGGGAGCGATAAGATCGCAGCCATTTAGAATAAATTGTTCAATTAATTAGTTCTTGATTACATAGTATGAACTGACCTGCATACACGACAATTCCTTCTATAAAATCGGTATTTTTAAGTAGACATTCACGTAAAAGCAAATTTTCTGTGCCAACAGCGACTCTTTTGCCAGAAGGGTGAACGATAACGCCATGAAACTGGTATATTTTTGTCGTAGGATTGTCCACCTCAATGTGACTCCGATACTTACTGGGTTCAAAAAGGCTTTGCTGCAAGAGAAACACAAACATACTACTACCACTATAATTATAAAATAAATTAATTCATTCTCTATCGTCTCTGATAGGTATATTCGATAACTTTCATTTTTTGTAAAGTTATTATGCATGACAGGATTTTCCCTGACAATTACGAGGGGGCGTTTTTAAGTTCGCGGAATGAAGGGTAAGCAGTGGAAACAAAAATACGAATTTATTTTTCCTTTTCAATATATTCACCTGCTACCCTTATAAATTTTTCCGATCTTTCAATGTCTTGTTTCATCCTTCACTTCTTCTTTTCAAGTTTGGGAATAGATAATAATCGCTGGGAGCAAGGTCAGGACTGTAGAGTGGGTGAGCCAAAATTTTCCTCTTCGTTTTTCTGTAACTGCTTCCTTTAACCGCTCTAGGATTGAAGCAGCCGTGGGTCTTCTTCAAGTGAGTCCCTACCTTACTTAAAGAAGGTGTGGCACTTGTAAACCATGGTTTTACCTGGGCAAGAGTCCCCGTAATCGGATGACATCTCTTCCAGTATGGTTTGAACTGATTTTCCTTGCTTAGTAAGGAAAATTATAACATTTCTTTTCTTATTTCACAATTTGTTCCCGATTGACTTGTTTTGTCGACGATAGTTCAGACTACTGACCTAATTACGATAAAACTTGGTATTTATACTAATAATGAGTTTAATTCGTAATGACTCGAGTAAGTACCCTCATTAATGACCTACCTACACATTCCGCGAACTTAAAAGCGCACCCTCGTATATGTAGACGAAGTACAAGGCTACCTTACTGAATTTAACATTACAACAGAAATTTATTTTTTTTTATCATAAAAACAATATTAGAAAACAGAAGTATTTGTTATTACACACTTTTTCCGGTGCAAAGTTCTCATCGAGTACATAATTTGTTCAACATTGTCTAAACTAAATTCGATATCAATGTTCAATCCTTTGTTTTTTTACTATGTAGCCCAATATTAACGCCATATATCAAAATAAGTTATTGTTTTTTAACAATCGGATATAAAAATAATATGCATATGTGAAAACATAAATGCTAAAAGTTGCAACAGTTGATTTTACGAAAAGCAAAAACGTGAAATTTTAAAGTTTGTTTCAATGAAAACTATTACTTATAAGTAAAAGAAAATTGGTTTGTTTTTTGCCGTTTTTTTCCTTTGCATTCGTTATCTTTGCATGAGCTTCTTGATCATTTATTTAACTTGGACAAATCGTTAAGGTCAAGTTCGTGAATTTCACCATAGCTTCATTGATAAATAATTTACAAACATTATCTAATGACTAAAGAATATCAAGCGGCTGAAAATGTTTAAATATTAAATATTGTGAGAAAAACCTTCAACGTGTAACAAATTTGTATCAAAATGCAAACCCATGTAAAAAAACATTACAGCAGCGGATTGTAATTGATATAAAGTAAATACAAATATTATGATATTGGTTATATACGTTGCAATTATAAATAATCAAATTAAGTTTTCAAGCTGATGAAAAAATGTATAACCAAAATAATACAAAACAAGATATTTTCAGTTTTCTTATACAACCATGATTGTATAAAACAATTATCTTTTATGAAAGATTTTGTGAAAGTGGACTTAATTAATTACTTATCTCGGGTTATTAAAACACGATTTCGTAATAATTACGCCTACTGAGGCTGTACTGCATTTTAATTAACCTTTCATATCTCGGTTTATATCTTTTTAAGAACAATATTTAAGGAAACCTATTAGAAACTCGATTTCATGGTTAAGCATGATTTGTTCTTTTGTAGAACTAATGATTTTTATCAAGTTCTTTTTTTATACTAAATACTTCCGACAAAATTGACCAAAATTCAGAAATACAGGTCTTCAAACTGCAAACTGCAAAGAATGACATTTACCATTTCAGAGTGATGTTGATGACGTTAATTAGCTTTAAAATCAACGAAAAAATAAGTTTCCTAGAAAAGCATTAGCAGGATTTCATATGGCTTCAAATAAGACCATGTCAGACTTGAATCATGTCGACTATTTTACGCAAGCAGGTTCACGTTTGGATTTTATTTTAAAGTCAGAAAAAAAACCAACGGTTATGCTTACGTCTTATTAAACATAATAGTCTCTCAATTTTAATGGATCACTTAGTAAATCCCAAATTTATCTAATACCAAGCAAACTAAACGGTAAAGTAATAAGTTCCTACCTTTTCGACGAATCCAGGCGCCACCTGTCTTTGCTTAAGATTGGTTTCTCCATCCAGATGTCCTGTATCAATGTAACATATACCGTTAGGATCACTGGATCGTAAAAGAAGGATATCAGCAGGAACTACTTCATTATTCGAAAGGTGGATCAAATCACCGACACGCACTTCCTTCCAAAGGACTTTTTTATACCGATCTATCTCACTGAAACAAAAGAAAATATCGATAAACATTCCAATAAACTAATAGAAAGAAAGTAAAACATATAAATATGTATTTCCAGAAATCTGAATCCAGTTTTAATTGCTTCAGGTCCTAATTTGATTCCTTAACTCATGAAATTTTGTACATACATTATAAGGAGTAACTAAAATGACATATGGGTGCTTTTCATCTAAAAAAAAAACATACTTTTCCAGAGGGATAGAAAAAATTAGTTTTATGTGGTCGTCGATGATCTTTGACATGTAT